TTATTTACAAATTATTATTTTCTATCCGTTATACGCAGTTAAAATACTGCTAATAAATTAAAGTGCGCTGTGACTAAATTGAATGCAGTATTTATTTATTTGTGTTAAAAAAAGGTATGCAAGTTGAAAAAAGCAAATTTAGTTGCCTACAAATGTTAATGCATTTTGAATTAGAATTACGATAAAAGTTTGTGATATCAAATATTAGTTCGTGGTAAAAAAAAAATAAAATAAAATAAAAAATCAAAATCAAAAACTATATTAAAGTTCCTAAAAATATGTATAATAAAAATTTGAAATATTTTTGACAAGATACAATAATACATTATAGCAATGATAATCATGGTTAACCTAAAAGCTAACGAGATGATGTTAACAAATGTTCATCAATACCAATCAATCGATAATAGAGAAGCCAAATCACACATAATAAGAGCATGCTTAAACTATCTAAATTATTCTCCTACCTCCAAACTTAACATGCAAATTAAAGACACTCATTTCATGTCGTTCATTTCCAAACTCACTTCCATCCTCACCATCAAACCCCATCCCATTTCCCCATGCATTGAGCAATCCTCCAAGGCCACCTACCGAGCCTCCTATAGTTCCAAAACTTCGACTCTCATAACTAATCCCAACAACACCCACACCCCACTTCCTAGCATATTTCATAATTTCATCTTCGACATGTTCTCTGTATCCATAACAACCACCTCCAAAATATTCAAGTCCTCCACAACATTTTGCAAAAAACTTTGATAAATCTTCATTTGTAAATAAACTTGAAATATCAATCACAAGTTTTTTCAATTGTTCAGAAGAAGTCGTAGCTATCTGTTCAAGAATTTGGCCAGGTTCGAGGTAAGTTTGAAATAAAGAACTTCCACGATGATATGCGCCTTTTATGTTTATATATTCAATTTTATGGCAGTGTTTCAATATGGTTAAGATGTAAGGACCGAACAGATTTGATTTCAATTTTCGTAGATTCGGACAGTTTTCAGCGATTGTAGTATCTAATGATGGATAATCACTCAGATTTATATCTAAAATGAGTTCCTGTAAGTTTTTATTGGAACCTATTATAAAAGATATTAAATCAGAGTTATATAGATAAGTAGAATTTAGTTGAAGAGTCTTTAATGGAGCTATCGAAGAAACTTTTTCAGTGGAAATGGGTTGGAGAGCGGGTTTGTTTCGATAATCGCCACAGTAAGATAGGATCAAAGATTCTAAATTAGAACATCGAGATAGTATGGGAAGCGGTAAATATTTTTGGGAAGTGCAACCATCAAATTTCACATGACGCAAGGAACTAGTTTGAGTGGATAAGGAAGCAAATAAGGAAGTGAGGTCATAACGAATTGAACGAAGTTTAAGAGATTTCAGGTTTCTTTGCGCACGAATTAGTGGAGCCCAATCTATATCTTCTAATATAGTTGAACAAGAAAAAATATTGATTTCTTCAACATCTTTGCATAGTTGAGACATGATTTCAAGAATGTTATCTTTTACAAAGTCACCACCGATAGTAAACTCACGGATAGAAGAAAGATAAGTATCAGCAAGAGTAAAAGTTGGTAATGAAACGATGTCACGAGAATATCTAGCTCTAGGAGTATACAATTTCAAAGTATCAATTTTCAAGCAAGTTATTCTTGAACGAGTCATTAAAAGATTCCAAAGCTGATGAGCGAGAGTTGAAATGTTTGTTTTTATTATATGTTTTGAAGAATTGAATAATCTGGCATAAGAAGCAGCAGCACCAGGAAAATCGCCAAAAGTGTAATATTCATAGCCATCATCATTATTTTGGGTATCATAGGAAAGATTTGTTATGTCCAAGAATTCACCATTATCAAGATCACTATTATGCCTTTGATTCCACCAAAAGTGTTTAGAAGCTTTCAAAATTTTAGAATAATCTAATTGTTGTAATAAAGCAGCATAATCAAATAACAAAGGCTTTCTTGAAGGAAGGTCCAAATCGAGAGCAGCTATTGCTTTTCGAGCTTCCTGGGTTAATATACTATTTATTAACGATAGTTTTGATTCTTGCGTTAACATATTAATATATGCTTTAACTAATTTGTAACGTTGATGTCTTTTACATATAGTAAATGATTGTTTCCATAACCAAGGAATTGCTGAAGAGCACCAACGCCGAGAGACCAATGAGCATGTAAATAAAGTTGATGAATCGTTCTGAAAATGACAAAAGATTTGATCAAGCAATTCAGGGAATAGATTCGCGGCCATTGTTGAAATTTAATACTTGCTAGTAGAATTAATGTGTGATTCATATTGTTTGTTAGCGTTGTGATTTAAAAATTTAGAATACATTGTCACACGATGAAAATTAACTATTTGGTACAACCTGATCAATAAAAAAATGAAATAATAAAAATAATAAAAATCACGGGTAATCAATAAAATTATTATTATAACGATAATATTTTAAAATATTTGATATAGATATTTGATATAGACACGATAATTGACATAAATAATAGAAAAATAGAAAAAACATACCTTATAATAACTATGCAATAAAAGAGGATCCAAATCGATAAGTAAATTTAATTTAAAACAAGCTATTTAGAAAAACGATAACCTCAATAAACCCAAACAGCTTTTAAATTAAGAAAGAATCTGAGAAGCAAATCCAGATTTAAGAAGAAATCGCATATAAAATTTTTTTTTTATTATTTATCATATCACTAAATTATTTTACAAAAATGAAGAACAAATAATCGAAGAAAAAGATATGAGATCGCATAATACATTTTGCCTAATTGCATAAATGCGGTTCGGGAGATTGAGTATGATTGGTTCATTTTTGAAGATCATCTCTTGATTAGTGAGAATCATGGGGTAGCATAATATAAAATAATGATGGGCCATGACACTATTAAATATTAACGTAAGCATCCCAATTGGCAGATCATATGATATAACGACGACGATTCCTAATTTCCGCTGATACCACTCGATGAAAATTTTCCTAAAATAAATTTAAAAAAGAAAATGAAAAATGAAGATGTTATATATATTTAACTTTTCAACTTTCCCAACTATCTCTTTTTTTAAAAGCATTTTTTATTTATTGTCATCTGTAAGTAATCCTTGGTACACTAGCGCTACGTAGTGTTAGTGTTATTTGTTTTTTTTCTATTATATAGATCATCGATTTCAGATTATCAAATAGAAAATGCTTCCAATTTAAATTCACAAATTAGCGTGAGCATAATATTTTTTAGACATTTTTTGGTAACACATTTTTTCGCCAATACGCAAAATCTCTTCACCAATAAGAACTTCGTATTCTTACAAATAAATATTTTGAATGATTATAAATAAACCCGTTGACATATCAGGAAACTGATTTTTTTTCCTTTTGGCATTCTGATGTCAGTATTAAATAAGCAATTTATATACTATAGTAAATTTATTTATACGGATATATCTGGAGTTTATGGTGCTCGTGTGACAGCAGATTTGGATTCAAATAAATCAAATATAGCGGTTTGATTTGCCAATTTGGGGCGTATTGGTATCGAAACTCGAATTTTATCCAAAGTGTAATGAAATCTCTTACTTCTTGCTACCCTCTGATTAACATATCAAAATGTAATGTAAAATCAAAATGTTTAAATTGTTTAAAAATCATTTTGAACTTAGAATATTGTCTATAAAATTGGTGGTTTTTTTAATTTAACAACAAAAATTCTTGCAAAATTTTAGATTAAAAAATTTCTTTGTTTTTTAACTTAGAGATTGAGCTCGTATAAAAATTTGACTTCGAGTTATCTATTCATTTATATGATTACTATTCGGATAAAAAATTGGTTTATTTACACAATTGATTTTACTAAATCATACGTATTATTGTTGTTAATTAGTGTACAGTCAACTTTGGATATAACAAACCTTTTTATAACGAACTCAAAATTTTTAAATTTTAATATTAGTTCGGTATAACAAGAGCTGCGGCTCTTAAGAAAACATAGTAATTCTACAGTCAACTCTCTCTAAACTGAACACTTATTAAATTTTCTGAAAATTGAATAAAAAAATTCTAGAACATTTGTAAATTTTATTATAAAATTTGGATTAGCATTATATAATTCTTTGAGAATCGAACTTATAAAAATTTTTACATATAAAAATCTTTAATATTTTTTTATGGAATAAAGAGAGTTGACTGTATAATGAACTTTTTTTTGGTCAGTATCTAGGGTTTGGTATAGAAAGAGTTGACTGTATTAAGCCACATAGTTTTAATCAGCTGATTAAGTTAGAAAATTAAAACATTGGTTAAGCAGTTGGTTAATGTTGACTGCTTATTTACAATTTTTTTAATATTACTTATATACTTTAAATTTATTTTATTTATTTATTTTTTTTTTAGGATTTTGTAATTTAACTATTTATAATTATTTTTTATTTTTTTATTTTTTTACTTTAATAGCCTTGCTAGTGATACTTTATTAAGATTATTTTGTATAAACTATTACAAAATATTTAGCTTAATATCTAGGTTTGATGTTTCACAATTACTTTATTGATGAGTCATATATAATTGAAGTTAATATTTGTAAGAAATTTTTTTGTTATTTGAGTATTTTTAAGTAATAATTATATCAAATGAATTGTCAACTTGAAACAACTTGTTTTGCTATTAGCCTACAATAGGATACTGTTAATTTGATAACATCTTTTTGTAAAGAAGTGCAAGGAAAAAAAACTATATATAAAACAAAATAAAAGTTTAAGAAAAAATGATAAAATATATAATCAAAAAAAAGAGAGAAGAAAAGTATTAATTAAAAAAAAGAGCCAAATAGTCTCAGTTATTGGCCTATATTAGATCTTTAAAAATTATATATAATTAAATATAGAGGTTTCTATAATTAATTATATATATTTTTTTTAGTAAAAAATAAACATATTCTGTTAGTATTTATTAATACTTAACTATATTAAAAATTACAAAAACTTTCTCTATAGCTAATCTTTTATATAATCAGTATAACAAGCCAAATAGTCTAATATAATAGTGTTTAGTATTTCTTAACCTTTTCTTAGGTTTCTAACTTGCTAAAGACTTTTTTTCTTAGTTCATCAACTTGAGGTCATATATACTCATATCTATATTAACTTTTCTTTTAAAAAGAAAAAATATTAATATATATACAAAGGACAAACAAAATAAAAAGAGTTATACCTTGACTTCTAGATCCTAATTTATCTGAAACAACAAATAAACAAATATAGAAAACAAAACAAAAAAAAGAAAACAAAATAGTACTATTAAACCTATACTGAATTGTAAAAATTATATAGTATTATTAAAATAAATTAGTTTAACTTTATATTAGCTATTTATATCTATATCTAAAATATAAATAAAACTTTTATCAAAACTATCTATTTTTGAGTAGAACTTCAAGTTTAAAATTTCTATTATATAGTCTAATAAAACTTTTGCAATATTTTTATATATATTATCTTTGTTATATAGAGTTAAAGATTATTTATATATTATTTATCCCAAAGTAGAAATATATATATATATGTATATATTTTTTTTGATAGCAATTATTATTATTAATCCTTTAATGAAAATACATCAACTTTCTTACTTTTTGCTAAAATTTTATAAAGTATAGCGAATAGGGTGATAAGAGAGTTTCAGTAAGCAAATAGTCTTGAACTTCAATAGGAAATATATTAAAAATTTACTTGTTATCCTTTTTTTAAACTAACTATCTTTTATTTTATTAACAGAAACTAAACTTCTATTAAAATTTTTTTATACAAAGATACTATATTCTTGTTAATTCTCTTATATAAAAATATTTTTAACTTGCTTGCTAAATATACAGAAGAGTTCAGAGACAAGATATAAAACTTTAATTTCTATAAAAACTATTACTTCTATAATCATCTCTTTTACTTTTCTCTAACAAATTTCTGTTTTTATTAACTAAAAGTTTGGTACAAGTAATCATTAGAAAGAGTTGATTTTATTTAGTTGAAACATTATAACTAACTATATTAACTAATATATTTAAACAAATACAGTCAAACTTCTCTATAGTCATCTCTTCTATTGTTACAAAATTAGTATAATTACAAATTTATTTTTATCAATTATTTATAACTATATAGAAAATACATTTATATTAGTCACACCTCTTTACAATCACAGTTTTTTGTATCCCGAAGGTATGACTATAGAGAGGTTTAATTATATATATATAATTACAAGCTTTTTTGACTTTTGAAATAAAGAAATTAAGAAAAATTAGGATACTAGTAGTTTAAAGCATTGTTTATTTATTAAAGCATATAGCTAATATGTTTTTTATCTTTTATTTTATTAATATAGTATAAACAAAGTTTATTTTTATAAATATTCTGAAATGCTAAACAATAGCAATCAATTTTAAAAATTAAAAATATTAATGTTTTGAAAGAAATAAGCTAAATTATCTATTTTTATATAAAAATTTTCTTAAACAAAAATATGAGACTAATAAGTTTTGTGAATTGTTTTTTAAAAGTTTTATAGTCATATAAAAATATCTTTTAGTTTAGTATTCTTAGTATCAATTTAGTTATTTTGTATTTCTAAAATTTTCTTTTAATTTTTGATATTAAATATAATAGAAGAGTCTATTAATTAGAAAGTTTAATTTTTATAATTTTTTTTGAATATTAATAGTAAGACCATGTCTCTAAGGGGGGCTTCCAGAAATCAACTGATTAGGGTTTACTAATAAATCATTTGAACCCACCCACCCCACCTGCTAGCCAATCAGATTTTATATTTATTAAAACGTATAATTAAAATTATATATAATATTTAATAATCATAAAAATCCAATCACTAGATGCTAAGATATAAATAGTTTTGTATTACTATATAATAATATAATAAAATATATTTATAGTAATACAAAACTATTTCTATCTTAGCAAAGAATGTGGCGACTTAGTGAAGTGGTCAAGTTGTTACACCCCCAAGCGGTTGAGTATTGGTTCAATTTCCACAGAGAGCAAAAATTGGATTTTAAGAAAAACAGAATTTAGTAACTAACGCCATAGTCAGAAAAACTCAAGATCCTGTAACTGTGGTCATACCAATTACGGTTTGCTGAAAACTGGAAGATCTCAGAGTATTTGTGTAATATAAGAAGTTACATAAAGGCATGCAAGCCAGTTTAGTCAGTGCAAACCCAAGATAAGTCCTT